CTGCAGGTGTGATATTAAGAGATCGAGCATCAATAACATGTGAGATTTGTCTTCCCTTTAGTTTCAGACTTTAGTTTTATTTAACTTGATATATTTTAAAATCCCAGTTGAAGGTCCACTTACTGAACTTAGCAAATAAAAACAAAAAAAGAACCTTGAACCTTGAACCTAGCACAAAAAGTAAAGAAATTTGTATTTGGTCAATTATTTTATTTATTTATTTTTGTAAGGTTGCTTCCTGCCAATAGACCTATACGTTGGAAAGCCTGTTTATTTCCCCTTAAATGTAGCCACATTTATTAGGGAAAATGCATTTGTGGGCTGAGCAGCAGAGTTGAGTATGTGGGTCGCGCCCGTGAAACACTTGTCAAATTTCCTCTTCCAATACCAGTCAGCTTATTCTGCTACTGACTCTGGTTTGGCGTAGTTTATTGGACTGGATGATTAAAGTCTGAAGAAACAATTTATTCATTTAACAAACAGGGCCCTGAGTAGCACGTGGAAGATCCACACACAGCCACAACAGCCTGGCACCTCCTCCTCATGCTGGTCACCAGCTTGGTCACACGCTGCTGTGGGACGGCATCTCAATATGGTTGTGTTGGCTGACTTGCGACAAATGCTGTTAAACTGACAATATGTCTTGTTTCTTCAGACTTCAATCATTCATATTCATTCATGGGCACAACCCACAGACACAACTCTGCTGAACAAACTCCATCCACTGTACAAAACATGCTTGCATGCTTGATGAAAAGCACGTAAAGTATTTATTTTATGGTCAAATTTTGAACATTAGCCTGATAACGCACTGCACGTTTTTTAAAATCAGGGCTTTTTTTTGTTCTGTACCACACTAGAATCGAGGAGTTTGCCAAAGACGAGGTTGACCTCACGCTGTCTACATGTCTTGAATTCAACACACCGCTCGCTGACCTGTCGGATGTCAAAACCATGATGGACTCGATCAACGTTGTTCCAGGTCTGAATCTACAAATAGCCTCCTCTGGTTCACTTTCCGCCTCCTTCTCTGTCACTTGAAAAATACAAATCTAGCAACACGCCGTGTCTTGCGTCACTGAAAATGAGAATCCTAATAATAGGAATCACACAGAGGTGTCAGTGTTGAGCTTCAACCAGAACAGAGCTGTCTTAACATTTAGATTTTTGTACTTTAAAAAGACTTCTTGATAACTGTGCTGAATTTACAGTGAATCTCTATCAAACAACCCCCAGCTCCATCTGCCCCAGTAATCAATCCCCAGATGCCCAACTCTGCCACTCAGACATCCCTGCGCGTGTGCTGGAGCTTGTTCTCTGATGACACAGTGGAGTACTACGAGCTTTACTACAGGCCGGTGCTGGAGGATACACCAGCAGACAGCACCTTCACACCGCAGGGTATAAACCAGAGACGCTCCCTGCAGATGTGCACTGCATGATAATGTCACCATCTGCTGCTCAACTTGTATCTACTGATCTCCCTGAAAATATTGCAATCTAAAGGTGTGCTCATCTTTTTGTTTTTTATTTAAGTGAGCAAGGTAACGTTGAAGGAGACGCACTGCACTGTTGCAGATTTGCTGCCCAATGCTCAGTACGAGCTCTGGGTGACTGCTACCAATACCACAGGCATCAGCCCAGCCAGTGAGAAGGCCTTATACATGACGGGTAACAAATGTCACACTCCAACTATGTGAGGAGTTCTTAAACTTGTGGCAGTTTAAAATAATAATAGTTCTGCCACTTTCCTCAGCTTTGCAATCACTCCAAAGTGGTGTGTTGGTGGGAATAAAAGTCTAAATCCTCTCTCCCCTAGTGCCATCACCTCCAGTGATTAAGCAGAGGGAGTGCAGTAGCTGTCCAGAGGCTGCTCTGATCCGCTGGGAGTCAGGAAACACCAACCCCGTAGACTCCTACACGGTGGAGCTCAGGGAGATGGGTGCAGACGGCACAGAGAGCAGCATTACCGAGTAAGAGGTGTTATTAACGAGACCGATTTGGCAAGCTCAAAATTTAACCGTGCCCTCTCCTTGAAATCTGTCACTTTGAAAAGGCCGCGCCTAGAGTTAAAGTTAAAATAGCTCGGTAAAAATAGAAGCGCTTCGCTGGAAACGCAGAGCTTCAAAGACGCAGTACTCCGTGATATTAGGCTCCACTGGCTTTTTCCTTTGATAAGGCTTTTGCTTCAAAATAAACAAGCTGGTGTTAGTGCTTGCCTGGGAAGTTTTGTTTTTTTGAGGTCCCATGGATATAGAGCTGCTGAATCAAGATGCACTCTGTCCTAGAAAATCTATTCTTAGCTTCAGCCCTTGCAGTGCTGTTGGCCTCAGCTAGAATGCTGTGCCCACATTTGGGGTCATTTTCATTTCTTATCCAGTCGCTCTGGAGAACACTTTAAACATTTATCTGTGCAGTAAACTATCTTTTTATTATGAATTTTTTTTCAAGGTAGACTTAAAGAAAATGTTCAATTATGAGTATATACAAATATAAGTTTCTGTTTAACCACCAGAATTTCAAGGTGATCTTTCAGTGATTTATGTTTTGGTAACCATACAAAATACAATACAGTTCACAAAGTGATCAGTGTTCTGCATTTACTATATATTTAAAGGAAGACGCGTGACCCTCATGTCTCAATTACAACCCCAGGTCTATTGTAGCAGTGCCCACCTGTCAGTGTCTGATCCAGCTGCAGCCAGGACAACGTTACCTCATCTCTGTGAGAGCGGTCAACATCGGAGGGCCCAGTGACAGGAGTGAACCAATTACTATCACCACGACAGGTGAGAAACAACTGGGATCAGCGTTTTCATTATGCTTTTGGCTCACTCATAGGCGGTATGGACCTTATCGTTTAAAGCAGAACAGTTATGTCTGTCTGTAACTTTAAGCATCTACTTGTCGATCATCCCCATCATGTTTGAGACTCCTTTCGCTTAGAAAGAGCATATAAGTTTATTCATTGTTAGCCTTGTAGAAACAGAGGTTGCACGATTAGAATAAATCAATCTGATGTCCTGTGTTTAAGCCGTAGCTTAAATAAATATACCTTCTTACTACATACATGGATTCAGGCAGTCTTTGCAATCAAACACCCATTTACCTGTGCAGGTACGTTTTTCTATCTCCTGGAGGACACTGCCCATCCTTGCCTGTCCATCTCTGAAGATGGCTTCACAATCTTTTATGGAGATGAAGAACTTCCCATAAGTGCCATGGCCTTAGATGACAACACCTTTACCAGGTGCGAATAATGGGAACCTTGACTTATAAAGATGACTCTATACACTTGCAGATGTTTAAATGTCAGTGTCTTTACAGATGTGTAGCTGTCCTTGGGGATCTGATTCCAGTGCGAGGAAGGCATTACTGGGAAGTTGAGGTGGATGATGGGACAGAGTTCCGGATCGGAGTTGCCTATGAGGACACAGAGAGGAACTCGTATCTTGGGGCCAACAGTACCTCGTGGTGTATGAGACACATCCTGAGTCCATCCAGGTAGCAGTCAGTACCAGCCAGGGTTCTTTCATCAGCTTCACTGCTGAACACCCTGTGATGTCCTGTCAGTACTCTTTACACATTAGTACTCCTCCAAAATAACTGCACACCAGGGATCCTATAGGTAAACTATGCCTGTGAACAACGGTTTAGCAAATATACAAAAGCATAACTGCTGAACCGCAAAATACTTGTATCCGATTACTGTAACAAAGTCCCCATATATTTCATATTAATCATCTCAGTTTGAACAGCGTCTGCGTGTTTTCAAGACAAGTGCTGTAGTAGCTTTGGTTTTCTGCTCAGTCATTTTTCTTAAAATATACTTGTTCCCTGAAAAGAAGCAGACATTTTCACAGGACTCCACAGACCTAATAGATGCAGACTTTTCCACCAATCTGATAGCAGAATTAACATGCGGATCCTCTGAGGGCCTACTATTGCAGTTCTCAGAAACTGGGCCAAGACTTTATTTTTAGCATTCAGAAATTTTCCCTTTCCTAAGCAAAAAAAAAAAAAAAAGAAAAAAAAAAGTGCATCCGTTCTGTGTGAAACTAAGCCCATTGAAGGGAGAAAAGCCCACAGCTGAATATCTGTTACTTTATAATAGTTTCTATGGCAACTCTTCTTGGAACAAAGCAGGACAGATGAATTATCACATTTAGCGAGTCATTCGCAGCAGCATATCACACGAGCCCTGAATATGGCTCCCATTGTGGGCATCTTCTTGTTGATTCTGCCTACGCACAATTTAACAAGCACATTTTTCATTTTCTTTAAGCTGCAGCCATTTGAAATCCTGCTGTTGGCTCATTATTCAGCATCTGCTTTCCTAATGGCTGACAGAGCGGGAAAATCATCAACAGTATGAATAAAATTGCTTTTTGACACACTCAATAATAATGCTTCTCCCTTTGTTAGGCATAAATACGAGTTTCTGCACAACGGCTGGAGTCCTGACTTGAGGATCACTGTGAACCCCGTACGGATTGGAGTGGCACTCGACTACGACAGAGGGACTCTGTCTTTCTTTAACGTAAATCTGGAACAACATCTGCACACCTTCCACTGTCACTTCCAAAATTACGTCCACCCCTGCTTTAGCCTGGACAACCCGGGAGCGCTTACTGTACACAACAGCATAGAAGCTCCTGAATACACATTCATCTGACATCAGAAGTATCAAGAAGAAATAAAAACCCAGGCAACAAGGACAAAACAATTATCGACTTTAATACTTACCAAAGTGCTCGGTGACATCGAACAAAACCAATGTTTGTAACGCCAATCTCCATTAAAAACTGAACTTTCTCACTAAAGACAACACACTGCTTTCAAATGTTTTTATTATAGTATTCCATGGGAACAGGCATACACCATTTTCCAAGATAAGAAAAGGTTTCACTAAATTGTACAATATTTAAACCACCTGTGACTGCAGCAGACTTGAGTGTTTAAGTCCAAAGGGGGAAATAAGGAGCTGTCTTTTCTTTGCGCTCCCACCAAAAAAAAAAAAAAAAATGCATTTGAGAAAAAAAATTAAAGGGGGAAAAAAACCCAATTGAAATTATAATACAACTATATTCACATATGTAGAAGGAAAGTCCACCCAGAATACTTCCACACACTGTATAAAGTGGCTAATGATGATGTGTTTGAATTTGCAATCAGATCACTATTTCATAAAAAAAATAAAATGAAAATAAAAAACCCACAAATGTAGCCCAAAGAGGTGTGACATTTTAACATAAATCCACATTGACGCTGAAATAGTTCGCATCTAGACTTCTATATTTACATTTTCTACATAGGCAGCAGAAAGTTTGAATTCCCCCCCCCCCCCTTACTTTACTCCCCCTCCCCAAAAATAACCTATTTCCACATGTGTCCTTTTTTTAAAGCATGTTACGAATGCTGTATGAAGACCGATGGGCTTTGAAGGTTGGCTACCTGATCTAAAAGGTATGTCAATAGTAAAAGGGGTACACTAACTTTCAAAGAACTGTCTCCAAGATCCTGACAGAGCTTAAAATTAAAAATGCATCTGTTCTGAAAAACGGAAGAATAAAAAGGACTCTCCCCTGCTTTGTGCGAAGGCAGTTGTCAGCAAATATATTTGTCTTTGTAGTAAATGTGGTGTAACATGCCAGAACAGTGTATGATACAAGGGTGGACTTTTCCTTTGATGCGGTTTGAGTTTGTGAAACTTGCTGATCTACTGAATGTGGTCTATGAATGTCCTGGACAGTGGGGATGGGACGGGGCAGAGGTTATGAGTTATCTGTCTTACTGCTACGGCTCCTCTCCTCCTCTTCATCGGAGGAATCCCCTCCGTAGGGCACTAACCCTGATGTATCAGTGAACACTTTAGGCTTCTTCTCGCACACCTCGTCTTGAACACCTGCAAGAGCACAATAAAGGGAAAAAAGAAAAATGGAGAGAGAGAGAGAAGTAGAAGAAAGGTGGGAGATATGAGCAAGAGAAAAAGAGAAAAGAGAAGGGGGGTAGACAAAGCAGGAGAAGAAAACAAAAAGGAAACCCATTGAGGAGCCCCATATTAGCGGTGGTTTTTGAGTTCGTTTGATCCACAGCCAGGGGGGGGGAGATATCAAATGAAACGGCAGCAGATCACACATCCATAACAGGCAGGTCCAGGGACACATGTTGAGAGAGAAAACAAGGGAAAGACAAAAAACATATACAAGAAGAGCATGTTAGTGAGTTTCACCAGCGGAAGGTTTCACACAGGTCTCCACTCCTCCCCCATTGCTCCACGGGGGGGAGATGCCATTTCATGTAACAGACAACACCACAGAAGAAATATCTGAGTACTCAGGCTCTCAGAGTATTAGGAAATAAAGAACAGCATACCCAATGACGCGGTGCTGCTGGGCAGACTCGCTGGATCATCCGTCACGGCATCTCTTGGCCTTTTGCGTGCAACAGCGGCAGGAGCCACGCAGGGAGGTGGCGGGGGAGGCATCAGAAACCTGAACAGAGAAAAATATGAATATCTACGCTACACAAGACTCACGAAGAACAAGGGAAAAACGATGATCTATGAGCAGACCTTTCTACTTCTTTCTCCTCGCCAACACTGGGTGCAGGAAGGGTGGACTCCTGATGAGTTGGACCCTCTGGAGAGATGGCGTAGGGCTAAAAAGACAGAACATTCAAGCCTTTTTACAAACTTTCAAAAGAAAAAGCTTGTCTCAAAAGAAAATTATTTTAGCATGTGAAAACCTTGGAAGACACTCAGAGCTTCCCATTTGCTTCAAGTTATTTTGATACTCGGCTAAGGCTGCAACAAGATCCAGCAAGTTTGCTCACTTACAAAGAAATGAACAGTTGCTAATTTTTATGGTAGTTCCAATGTAATGGAGAGAAACCAGGAAAAAAAAACCTATTCAATTTTTCAAGTTATAGACTATCCCATAAAACCCGGATCCCACAGATAGGCTGTGTGGCACAGAGATGACAAATAATTACTCCTGATCTCATTCAACTCATTATGTGTATCAAGCAAACCTGTCCAGTTACTTCAATTTAAACCTGTCCACCATCATGAGCAAGACCAAACAACAGTGCAAACATGGTGACAAACTACAAAGACACATCTTACTACTGTCAAACTATACTTTGAGATCAAATATTCATTTCACTCATCTACATGTAAATCATTTCAGAACTTTTATGCAGTTTCTAAGTGAGCCAGCTAACAAATTCAAGCAGGGGATCAAATTAATATTTCCCCCGCTGTATAACAGACCTCTTGCATGGACAAAGGCATTAAAATCTTTAATATTCTTTTTTAAAATATCTGAATTTAAAGGCAGATCTATAGTAGGGAGCAACTAGAGAGAAATCTGCTTACAAATTACAACCCAAAGTGCTTTTGATGGGAGATGATAGGCACTACAGCTTCAATAAAGTTTGTTTTTGAACTGAGCACTGATAAAACATGATCAGATTTTCCTCCAAGCCAAAGTTGTGGCCAAATGCAATCAAACAAAAACAAAAAACCCCAAAACAAACCTGTTGTACTTTTCACATCTTTACTGAACAGTAATCTAATGTTATCTTCCTAATTGGAACATGTTGTTAGTACAATACAATTTTATTTATATAGCACATTTAAAAACCCGAAGGCACACCAAAGTGCTTCACAGTAATATGGAGAGTCAGCATAAGTCAATAACAGGGTACAAATCGGGCACAAGCACAGACAGCATAGAGGCACTAACAGACCAGAAGAGTTAGATAAATACAAAATCCGCTAAGAAGACAAAAACAGCAGTAAAATTAATAATAAAATAATAAATTTAATAAAACTTAAAAGATTTAAAAGTGTAAAATTTAAAAGATTTAAAAGGGTATTAACTGGTCAGGAAAGCCAAGTCAAATAGATATGCTTTTAATCTTGATTTAAAGGATTGGATAGAGTCCAAGGCTCGAATAGAAGCAGGGAGGCTATTCCAAAGGTTTTGTTCAGCTGAAGCAAAGGCACGATCGCCTATGGTCTTCAGTCTAAACTTAGGTTGGGCCAGGAGTAATTGACCTGCTGATCTTAATGCACGACAAGGAGTGTACAGATTGAGGAGGTCAGTGAGGTAGCCGGGCGCAATGATATTCAGGATTTTAAAAGTGAGTAGCACGATTTTAAACTCAACGCGATATTTGATTGGTAAGCAGTGTAGATCAACAAGACCCGGAGTAATAGGGTCAAATTTTCTAGTTCCAGTAAGAAGGCGAGCCGCAGCATTCTGAACGAGTCGCAGCCTTTGAAGAGAGAACAGTAGAGAGAATTACAGTAATCTAACCTGGAGGTCACAAAAGCGTGGATAAGTTTTTTCCAGGTCCCTGTGTGGTATATAATGCTTAGCTTTAGAAATCTGGCGCAGTTGGAAAAAAAAAACAAAACAAAACAAAACAAAAAAACAGATTTAACTACAGATGATACTTGCTTATCAAGCTTAAAGGAGCTATCCAAATAGAAACCCAGGTTACGCATAGAATCAGAGAGACAGTTAGCTAGGGGCCCCAGCAGGGCAACAAGCTGGTCTCGAGGAATATGGCTGTCGAACACCATAACTTCAGTTTTTTTCTCATTTAAAATGAGAGAATTATCTGACAGCCAATCTTTAACCTCTCTCAGGCAATCGTACAGGGAGTTCAATGATGCTGACAAATCATCAGTCAGTTGATGATAGATTTGAATGTCATCTGCGTAAAAGTGATAAGAAATATTGTATTTTTCAAATATGGAGCCCAAGGGTAGCATACACAAAGAGAATAATAGAGGGCCCAATACAGACCCCTGGGGCACACCACAACAGAGAGGGGCAACAGAGGAAGAGTATCCTCCCATCACAACAGAGAAGGATCTATCTGTGAGGTAAGAATTAAACCAGTTAAGGGCAGAACCCTTGATGCCTACAACATGCTCTAGCCTCCTCAAGAGTATATTATGATCAACCATGTGAAAGGGTGAAGACAGATCCAATAAAACTAAAACGGCAGGGCGACTAGAGTCAGCAAATACAAGAAGATCATTATAGACTCTTAGCAGGGCCATTTCAGTGCTATGGTGTGGCTTAAAGTCAGACTGGTATTTGTCAGTAATATTATTTGCAACTAAGTAAGCCTGTATTTGGAGAAAGACGGCTTTCTTTAAAATTTTTGATAAAAACGGAAGTTTCGAGTTTGGCCTATAATAGGACATACTTTAACTAGGGGTGCAACGATACACAAAATTCACGGTTCGGTTCGATACTTTGGTGTCACGGTTCGATATTTTTTCAATACAAAAAAAATGTTCATGCCTTTTTAATTTGTCATTTATTAAAATTATAAATATATATTTTAACTCAAAATTACAGTTTTTAAATTTAATGTTGCTGAAACAACAAAGTAATAAAAAAATAAATATATCTGATTGAGAAATCACTCATCTTTGGAAAAGAGAGTTTATTACAGAGAAATGGCTCTTTCCAAAATAAAAGATATACTATACGCTTCTTCTGGGGTATACTCTCAGCAGCATATTAAACATATCAGGTCCCCATAAGGAGAATTATGTGCTAACGGCGGTAAAGTTTGTAGCATGCGTGCTTGTTGTTTTTGTCTTCTTCCACTTGTCTTTGCACTAGGATGATGTCGGTGTAAATGTGCAGTCATATTCGTTGTGTTCCCACTAGTGCTGTCAGCGTTAATCTCGTTGAAATGACGTTAACTCCATAACACCGCAAATCTCCGTTAACGAGCTACCGGGGATCGCCCCGTGCATGGGGCTGGACGGCCAACACGTTAACGAGCAAACTGCGCTAACACACTAGTTCCCACCAATGTAATTGAGCATTGCGTGGCACATCCAACATACTGTTTTACTTTTGTCCATGACGCGCTTACCTTCAGGGTCGTACGTCACATGAAAACCAAAATAGTTCCAAACGCCAGATCTGAATGAGGGTGGGGGAGGTTCAATTTGCCATGTTGCAAGGAGAGCTTAACTTCTGTCTCGCTAGCTTGCCCTGCGCTCAGTGAATCTGCGTTCGACTACTCCGCCTAGGCTGCACTGTCGAGTGCAGATCCACTGAGCGGTCAACACAGACAGCATCGTCAGAAGTTGATAAAATAAATGAAAAATTTTGTATTGTTCGATACATATGTGTACCGAACCGAAAGCACTGTATCGAACGGTTCAATATCGATCCGAGTATTGTTGCACCCCTAATTTTAACACATACTTTTTCCAGCATGGGCTCTAAATGATCATGCACATGTAGAGTGGAACTGCTGGTGTTTTATTAGCACAATAGTGATTGCCTATATTTCTGACACCATTGAAAATCCGAAAACATAAATAGCAATGGCAGAAGTCACAGATCCCCTCCCCGTATTAATCTTTTTTTTTTTTTTTAATTAACACAGTGATACAGATGAAACTAATGTCTGTGATCAAAAAACACTGCTTAGCTCCGTTTGATGGTCATTTGTATTACAGACAATAACTTTCAGCTTAAACACTTGTGTAATTTGGTAAACAACTACTGTAACTCAGAAAACAGAAAGCAAAAGAGACGGTCAGTATTTATGCTGAACAAACTGAAACTAATATTTTCATACAATAATTTCATGAGCTATAATTATGTGTAATTCTGTCCAATGTTGGTTGTTTAGCAGTGATGCCTGAAGCTTCTCTGTTTAAGACCAGATGGACTAATCAGCTGCAATTCAGACAGGTTTATCGGTGAGTAATGGTCATGTTAAAATGGGCAGAATTATCTATTAGTGATATGTACAGATGTTACTCTTCAGCTAACCTTTTCATCCTTAGCCCCCTCCTGGAATTGATGCTTGGGACTTCCTGAGTCAGGGGGGGTATTTAAAGATCCTTCAGGCTCCACTGTCTCACTGCTGCTTGGATCCTTGGGTAGGGCAAAACCAACACATACACATTGATGCTGCCACAGGACTTTAAGAGAACTAAAACTCCTCCTAAAGACCTCGATGACTTTCATGTCTTATTGCACTTCTAGTGTAAACTTGCACTGAAACTGGAAACTGATTAATCTATTCAGTGGTTTTAGCTATATGATGTCACAGTTTTTGATGGCTCTTCCAACAAGCAATTAAAAATGTAGCACTCTAAATCAGCTGACTAATAAATGGGAACTTTAAGTAGTGGCAGCTTTAGACTTTTATAATTACCTGAACAAGATAGGGATGTGGTTTCCTAGGACACACCGGATACTGAACCATTGCCTGAGAAGATGGAGGGTTTGTCGACAAGTTAGAATGACTTGGGGGACCATTTGCCTTACTCCAATAACCAGTGGCTCCTGGATACGCTGAATAGCCGCCAGCATACCCATTTGCTGGGTAGTTATACCAGGACCCCTGGCTAGAGTAATTGCTATTAGGTGGAAATCCATGTACTGCGTATGCTGAAATGAAAGTATAGAACCCTGAGTTAATAGCACATATCACATGGATCAATAACAGGGTGTTTTGACAACTGTGACCTACTATTTCAAGCAATTGCTGAGCCACTAAAGACGTCACGGGAGGATTAATTACCACAAGGAGAACGAAGTTAGTCAGTACCTTACATTTGGTCACCCTGTTGGAATTTGCCTGTTTAGTTAAGACAAGACTTAAGAAGAATACTCACACTGTGTCGAGCCCGTGGCTGTGTATATCGACACCATACGTGCATGCTCAGCTCTCACCTAAAGAATGAAAGAAACATTAAAATGATGTAATGAACCAGACAAAACTGCAGTTCTATAATCAGAAAGTTTTGTGGGTAGGTGCAGAGCACTCAAAACCTATCTCTGGAGATCAGGTGGTTCACACTACCACTTTCACTTTTGGAGGTGGGTATCAGTGAAAACTATACGCTTTAGTAGCTTCACTTTCTTACACCTCCTGTAAGACTTTCATGCAATATAAATCCCCTCTGACACAAATACAGTGATAACAGTGTGTACTTACGGTTTCCAGGAGACTCTCTGTGAGTTTCTTTGCCGATTCCAATCCAGCTGCATTTGGGTGGCTGTAACAAAGGTCCATTGTTAAACAGGATGTAACAGACTTAGTAAAGGACTAAAGCCACATATTATCATTACATAGACCAACTGTGAAGCCAACACTGTGCCATAACCTTTAATACTTGTGCTTAATACGTGCTAGCTCAACTCACTGGCAAAGAAAAAACAAAAATAAGCTGCTAGACTGTTGGAATAGCAATAGGAAAGGTAATTTACAGGATTTACGTCATTAAAACTGTTTTTCCAGTTTCTACAGAAAGTTTTGTCTTTTCAAAAAGCAGAAATCTCCTTGGATGAGTTCTGTGCCTCTGGATCTCTCCCACATCAATCGTCTGAAGAGACAACTCTGGCCTACACCTGAACCATTTAGCACATGCTGCAGATGCGCAGTGTTCATCAGGTTAGTAAAACTAGCAAAAGCCATGCAGCAAACGACCATTCATCTGCAAGCAGGGCTCTAACACTGAAACCACACAGCACATACTGAATGTGTGTATATGTCATTTAACGACTCTTCCAATTAGAATGAACATACCTGATGTAGACATAAAGAGGTTCAAAGGACTCTCGTTTCGATGCTTGTTCTATGTAGCCAGAACCTTTTCCTCTGAGGAAGACTCGAGCTCCCGTCTCTGTCTGGATGTGACTCAGGTACGAACCTGCTGGACCCTCAACCTTTTCTTTCACATTGAATGAAGGCAACGCTTGGTCCAGACCCACAAAAATCTTTGTGTGCACAAAACTCTGAAGAGAAATAAAGACATGGTTACCTTACCAATACCATGTACCTTATGGCTGTTTAGTGAAATCATGCTTGACATTAGGCAGAAGTGCTTTGTAAGCAGATGCAGTAATCCAAGGCTTTTCACTGTAGACCAGGGACGTTCTCTCTGCTCCTTAATTTTGGAGGCAGGTATCAGTGAAAGCAACATAGTCTCCACTTGCTTCACTTTCTTTACCTCCACTCCCAATAACCTAGTCTGCATAATTAATTTTATATTTCATAACCCTAACTTTATCTTAGGTTTTGAGTAATGTAGCATTGTTATACACCCAAATAAACAATCCTACTACTGTGTGTCCCTCAGTTTACTGCCTGACTACAGAATCTTTCTCACTAAGCACTGTTAGTCTTGAACCTTTGGTTACAATGTACAGCTTATCTGTCTTTGTCCAATACTTAAGGAGACATAAATAACAAAATTAAAGATCAAGTTGTTGATATTTAGGGTTTGATGAGTTCACACAAATTTGACTTTATTTTTTAATCATCTGCCTACCCCTAAATGAGGAGCTGCTGGTCGATGACCCTGGGCTGGCACTGAAGTGGTATTGGGCATCCGTGGCACAGTAGAAGGAACGACAGGTCGAGGCGGCTGAGGGTAGAGAGTGAGCGGTGGAATTACAGGCACCTGCTGTCCCCCCGAGGCTGCTGAGGTCCTCATCACATCCTCAGAGATGATCTCCTTTATCCTGATTACAGCCTCTGTTGCAAAGAAAAGTGACTGATATTTGAGCATCTGCCACATCAATTGTTACATGCTGTGACATTTGTGAATTACATTAGATGATGTCAGCCTCAGCATATTAAGCCAATAAAATGTGCTACTTACTGTTGACTTGTTCTTGGGTCTTTCCCTGAACGTGCAAATACAAAGGTCTTTGTCTAAAGGAAAGAAAATCGGTCATGGACAACATTTTACACTCTTTATCACTGCAAAACTCATTAATTCAGGTTTGTCTGTTTACTTTTATTAGATGAACTTCACTATTCTAGTAAATAATTAATGTAGATTTTCTTAAGACACAATATGCAAATGGGTGGGAAGGGGGGGGGTCCCTACTTTGCAGAAACAAAGTATTAAGACTTGAAACACATACCCTGCTGCTATTCCCTTTTCAGTTTCTGTCATGAAATGACCTTTTGTTGAAACGATGGCTCCACTAAACTGTCGAATCTGAAAAAGGTAAAAGAAGATTTTAAAAAAAAAAAAAAAAAAAAAAAAGATATTTTAAGAGACAACTTGTTTTAAAAGTTCTTAAAGTGTGACAAAAGTGTTAAATGGAACACTGCTATGGTCACTTTCCACCAACCTCCTCCTGTGTTTTGCCTTTAGTAAGAAGGTCCCTGCAGTTGAGTGGTACATCATTTATGTCGACTTCAGTGACCACCATCTCTTCTGTAACAGCTGGCACAGGCACACTTGGAGGAGTCTAAAATATATGAAATAACACAGAAAACTTAAACTCCATTAATAACGACAAAAACATACATGATACAGTTATTCAAAGCAGCTCTCTAACTGCACACCTTTGCAAGTAATGGTGGAGGAGTCAACAGCTTTCCTTTTGCCATCAACATAGCATTTATTTTAGCAGCCATTGCTGCAGCCATTTCAACTCCTCCCTGAGGAGATTTTCCTCCCGTTTCTGGTGCCTGGGAAACTGTGCTGTTTGGTCCAGAAACGACTCCTGACAATGAGATAGGGTGGGCTGCATTTTCACTGCTCTTCTGCTGCTGTATGTCTACACTCTGTTTAGGCTGGGCTGGCTTATCCCAACGGCTGGTTAGGCACCTGAAAAAAAGATATACTATAACATATAACATACTATAACTATAATACTATAACAATCCAAGTTTATCAAATTATTTATTGACAGTATTCCTATACCTAACGCTTTTTCATCTTTATTTCTTCCTAAATGTTTTCCATTATGTCTTGGGAAATACTTTACTTTGTTTTGACACGTGTTACGCAAATAAAGTTATTATTATTTGCCTAAAATAAATATAAACAAAAAACAAATCCGTGACGTCAAATAAAAGGGGACTAGGTATTCTAACCTAAGGACAGCCTGAGAAATACTACATGAGCACCCATATTACCACTGTCTAAACCAGTCTTTGGAATTTCAAGTATCGGCACAACAATTTGTCTGTGCTATAACGATCTGTTTAGATACACTAATACATTGTGGTATCACAAGAAAAATTGCCTAACACTTCGCTGATGATGCTAAACAGTAAACGTGGTGAATAGCTGTTTATTTTAGCCAAACGTATTCCGCGTTACTAGACATCTCTGTCATACCGGTGCATTTCAATGTTTTAACAATCTTTCGTGTGTAAAATCTGTGGATTCTGGTAACGGTAGAAGCTGTTAGCTAACATATTAGCAAATAAGATGGCGTTAGTCATTGCTAATATGTTAGACGCCGAGAGCTAAGCTAGCTAGCTATCAAGTTACGATACGGTTTCACGAGTTTTTCCAATGAAATATAATTTTGGTGTACACTGAACACAAACTCAGAGTAACCCATGTATGTTGTTGAATTTTTTTAGCGTCAAATAACACCCTGCAATCTAACTTTTACTAACAGGCCATGGTAGTGCTGGCAGTTAGCAGATTAAGCTAACAAACACTAGCTTACTGTTCGGTGAACTCTGCAGTGTGGCGCTAGCTTGTGTAACGACTACTCAGTTCTAACAAACTAAACAGACACTCACGGTGTTTGCCCCGTCATTCCTGAAGACATAGCACAACTCCACTAAATAGATAGTAAATTGATACGGATACAGTACAAAAGCTACACGGCCTTAGCCATCGGTCTTCTTTCTCTCCTGCTCCGGCGATTTCTTCTGACGACTTGTCGCAAAGTCTGACTTGGCGGAAGCGCAGCTGTCCTCATGTTCTGGAAGAGTCTCTCTCACTTTCAGTAAGCTTCATAACAAATCAAGGCTCACCTGGTTAACGTAGCGTTATGCTAGCCTGTTGATTTAAAGTAAAGTAAAAGAAAAGAAACACATTAAAAAGTTTATTTTTTTCTCCCCCCAGCATCTTAAACAGCGCGAACACAAAGCGCTTATTTTCCCATTTTGCGTGCAATCTCAGGCCGAAAGCATCAAATACAACATGTCTGTCTTTTTGTACAGTTCCGCATTTGCTCGCGTTGCGTACCTTATTGTGTCTACACGTGAGACATTATGAAAATTTAGTGCCATATTTCTGCTGCCAATATTACCATGCACAAACCGTCCTGTCTTTGTTGTGTGTATGCTTGTACCTGCAGCTCAATGTTTAGTGCCTGTATATAGTAACCAGGCAATACATCCGTCAGACAGGCTATATATGGGTCAGTTTTGTTAAACAGACAGCTAGTATGACTGTACTTTAGGCACAGACAGTAAGAACTGGCAGCCTTCATGCATTTCCTTTAAGGACTTGGAGACTATGTTCAATGTAGACAAAAAAAACCCCCCAAAAACCCCATCCCACACATATTCACCTGTTCACACAAACAGCATGGATTAAGTGTGTGTTATGAGCAGTTTCTATAGAAATTAACAGTTTGTAACACTGTTAAAGAGGAAGAGGATGAACTTTAAATGACCCGTGTTTATATTTAGCTGACAAGGATCTCTAGCAGCAGCAGTGTGACTTATTGACTCCCATGTGCTGGGAAAGAAGTTGGAAGTTGAACTACATTGTCTGTAAAAAGGCAAAACCTTGAAGGGAGGAGGTTGTGGTGGATATATGGGTCGGCTAAGTGATGTAAACACTGAAGACTGTTGTTTATTTTCCATTTCCTACCAACCAGCAAGACCGTGTTCTTTCTCCAATACCTCAACGAAGCAGCTTAAAAAAAATAATTAAGGAGTATGTACTTTGAACCAGAGTTAAAAAGTCCTGTTTTAACCATATGTGGGAGGATCAAAAAGAAAATGAAAATAAGAATCTTACACGCGTCTTATTTTTCCTCGAGGTTTGTAGATTAAAAAGAAAGTGCTACAGAAAAAAAGTAGCCTCAGTCACATGTTACTGTGTTTGTTTTTTCACTATTTTATACTATATTGAAGTGGGTCACACGGGGTGTTATCCGGCTGCCATGTAGTTTGAGATGCTTCACAAAATGTTGAAAACCTTTTATTTAAATTAAGTCAAAAGAAAAGAATAAACTAATGGAAGTAACCTGAAGAGGCAGACACAGAGTCTTACTGCAGGCATGAAATAAATGAGCAAGTCAAAAAGAAAAAAGGCATTGAATCATAGACATTAAATATATAATTGACATTATTTTATTTTTCATTGAATAATTTCTAATTTTTTTTTCCGTGCCTTCAGACCAATGTGTATCAGAAGGAACAAACAAATCCCCTGATTGCGTGTACATTTCTGTCATTTGAGAGAAACAACGATAATCGTGGTCAGCGCATCTTGTTAACCACCATTTGCTTAGCTGTTATGGCATTTAATATACTGTTTAAAGAGGAAATATTCTTAATAAGCGACAATCTTTAACATATATTAGTATCCTAATCTGAATCCAACCTTGAACAAAAAGCTGTTCCCTGGGTCTGTGCAGAAGGATGTTGGACAAGTGGCCAAAATAGAATGATGTTTGATCCAAAAACAAAGAAGAAGAAGAAGAAAAAAGAAAATCAATACAAGCTGGCCTCCAGGAGACTGCTTAAAGACAGTGATAGACAACTCTGCGATCCACATCCTTCTTAACCATTTAGTTCTCTGTATACATGCTCTGCGTGACCATCCCATTCAAAAGTATTCAGATAGCTATAATGGTTGATCTCTTTTGCTGCAAATCCAGTGTAAAATTCATTGTCTATAAAAATATTGAGATTTCCTTGAACATAACCTTCTGACTATGTCATAATAAAAACTCCAGATGTCTGTTGCAGTTGCACAGTGGGATGTACTGTATAAATATTGTATAAAATAAGGCAGTCTTTTCAGTAGGATAAACCAGATACAAAAATTTCTGGGAGACAAAATTTTTCAAGTCCAAAATGTTTTCACATATTTCTGCTGTTGTCAAATGTCGAGCGGTTTACAGCATTAAACCAAGAGCAAGGGATTGTTGCAACAATGAATACACCCACGCACTCGCAGCAACAACCAAAACACACCCACACGTGCGCGCGCGCGCACACACACACACACACACGCACACGCACACACGCACGCACGCACGCAAACTCCCGATGATCAACAATAACAGCTTATTCTCCAATGCAACATCCCATCCCTGGACAAATCACTGAGACGTAGACATTTCTAATATTGTTTACAGTGCAATACAAAAGTGTTCATTCAAACTGGTACTGTACTTTTGATAAAAAAAATTAAAAAAAAAAAGTTTAATATGGTAATGCTTCATATGAATAATAATTGTGAATTTTCGAGAGTTATAGTAGTATTTGTCTTCATTAGCTTTGGCTTTTCTCGCTCTTCATAAATTCATTTTGTTCTCGTCAACTAATTCATTTAGGAATTTTTATATAGAAAATATGGAACATCTTAAGAAAAATGTACACACCAAATCATCTGCAGTTAGATACCTACGATTGTGATGTTGAGGTTTTTGTCTCTCAGCGGTGGCCTAAGAGAAAGGTCCACCGCCCCCAACCCATAAAGAAAGCATCTCCTCTCACATGTCTACTAAGACAGCTATGTGTCAACTTGGTTGGGTTTCTCTCAGACACGTGTGAATATTGCCCCAAAACAAAAACAAAAACAAACAAACAAACAAAACAAAGGAAAGCAGTGGAGTGTTCTTTCATGGTGTGACCTCCAGGGGGTTGAAAGAGCAGTCCTGCCTTGCTGCGAGCACAGGAATGGAGGTCAAAAGTGATTTCACAGCCTGGTTTGAAAAGATACATTTTTTCATCCAGACCACGCTTCCATCGAGTCTTTTCAGTAAACAAGCAGTTTTTACTCAAACAGCAACTTCACAGGCAGACAGGAGTGCCCACGTGGCGATCGGGGAGGGACGGGTGCTTCGCCAGAAGACCGCTAACGACCCTCTTTCAGTCATGTCACTTGACCAGCTACACTGCGATTGCCTGAGAGGCACAAGAAGTTCGTAAGGATGCTGCGTGTCCGTGTCTGTTTGTCACAGTTCGCGTACGACAGGCTCGTAAAGCCCGCAGCATTACAGCTGCAACTGCCTGTCAGGAAGGAAGTCCTTCTGTGGTTCTCTGTATGGACGGACATGTGGACGCTCGGTGTGCTACGGAAGCAGGAGAGTGAAGGCGAGGAAGCCCCTTGGCTGGCTGGGCTGGCAGGGAGAGAGACCCCCCCCCCAGCCAAGAGAGAGAGAGGAGGTCTGCCTCAGATTACAGAGTCCCAGGGCACAAACACTGAAGCACCTACTCGGGAGGTGGTCGCAGGCTGTGCAGCTTCCTCTCATCCAGGCCTTTCCAATACTTGAAGTTGTTGTCCAAGTGCTGCATAAGATTGGGGAGGTCTGCAAAAGCTGGGGAGAAGAAAAAGCAAGATCAAGATGAGGCTTAAAGATTACATTTTGTTTCAAAGATAGTACGACACATTTATATTTAATAAACATCTCTATCTCACTGTCACAGTATAAAAACAAGCAGCAGCATCTGGTGCTGAAAAATGAAGACAGCGGAACGTGACAAAAACTGCTGTTCCTCCGACGGCCACTTTGGTTCTACCAATGGCCGAATACCCAATAAAAGTGATGGATCAAATTAATATTATTATTATTATGAGAGTCATAATAAACTGAATCTGCCTCGCTATAGTTTCATGTCATTTCTGCACAAATAACCAATACTTGCAATACAGACGTGTGTGTGTGCATGGGCACACAGGGGGAAAAAACAGAAAAGAGAATGAAACCATAATACTGACGTAATCCACCATTTTGGCTCTTCAGCTGTCATCCCTCCACTCACATGCATGCTAACTAATTACAGGGGGATAAATCAGTTAGCGTTGTATGTCGGCACTAACTTTAATTAGATAGCGCGGGTCGTAAACCAGTCGGAAGGTTGGTGGATCGATTCCCCGGCTACTTTTTGGGGTCCTTAGGGATTAGAAAAGCGCTATACAAATACAGGCCATTTACCATTTAACGTCAAAGCATCCTCGGGCAAGATACTGAACTCAAAGTTGCCCCTGATGCATGCACTGGAGTGTGAGTGTATGCATGAATGCACTTAGGTGGAGGGAAAAAAAGTGCTTTTATGACAGGGTGAATGAGGCTTGTAGAAAAGCACTTTATAAGTAATAATTTACCATTACAGAAAGTGAGGAATAAACTCCATTTTTTTGTCCCCTGTATGTTTGGGGCACATTATGGAGAATTAGTAACCTCCTCTGCCCCCAATGGTGTGTCAGCTGTCGGCTTTGACACGGAGAAAAGAGCACGATTGGACTCTAGAGCAACCTAATTGCCACTTGAGAGTGGTTCTAAACAACTGAAGCATCACAGCCCACCCCAAGTGAATAACCTCTTGGTATACAAGCAGATATAGAGCACGGCTACTGCTACAGCAGCCAATGCAAGCTGTGTCACCAAGTGAAGTCACTGAACTAGTCCTCTCAACTGTGTTTGTGGTTTCGGTGCCTTTTGCAGCATTTTTTTTAATGATTATCTGATAATAACATGGCTGTGTGAAAATGTAGGACTATTTTATTTGTGAGTTAGCACTAATTAGAAGACATCTATGTGCATGAGATGCTCCCTAACAGTCTACGGGCGTGCCAATCCATCCAAGCTAGACAACACTAGCAAGCTTACCAGGATGATAACATCTATAGTGTATCTGCCTACAGTATGAGCCTTTGGATTAATTTCTTTACAAGGCAACAAAAGGCCATGTTTGATGGCACCAAACACCGAGTATGCTTGCTGTGATCTAATAACACTGAGAATTTTAT